CTGCTCCTTTTCAGGCTCTGTCAAGTCACTTCCGGAACTTTCTTACGGAAACGTCACTGTCCCGAAGGGGCTTCGGGCCGGAAGGGGACGCGTTCACGACGACGACGACGACGACAATAACGATGACGATCAAGCCAAGTACACTCACACGTTTCGCGTTGCGCATGTGTATACATATATCTATCTATCTATGTATCTATCTATATTTATATATATCTCTGTGCACGCATCTCAATGGAGCTCGCGACGTTTCTTCCTCTCTCCCTCTCCCTCTTTCTCTCCATGTATATCCTCGTTAAACTCACTAGTTCGCGACAACTTCCGTTCGCTGGTCGCGTTCTTTCTCGCGATCCACCCCCTGTGCCCTCTCGCTATTAACTCTTTCTCTTCCTCTCTCTTACTCTCTGCAACTAGGATAAAATGATATGTATTCGTTCGCAACGGCGGCGTCCCCGAAAGCACGCGAGATCACGGCTATCCTTGCGTTTTACACGTTCACTGAGCTGACGATCAAGAATGTCTGACTTCACCTAATCACCTTCGTATCATCCGTCTGTCTTGATAGTTGACTTTCTTCCCTTACGCTGACTCCGTTCTGCTTTCGCTCCGTCTTTCTGTCTATCTCTCTCTTCCTGTCTTTCTCTCTCGACGGAGACTCCGTTGCGCGTCCCCGGACAACAATCCTTACTCACTATTATTTTTACTTACGCTTAAAACTAATACGGATAATATATTCCCGGTGCACACGGCTAATATTTCTACACTCGCACGACTACCCCGTGTGCGCTCTAACCTGAGTCATATTTTAAGTACGACGACGCACGGGTGGCGGTGCGACCGTGGGGTTACACTCTCTGCCTTTCACGCTGCCACCTCCCTCTTGCGCCCCGATCGGCCGCGATGCGCCCCTACCCGTCGAAATCCCCACCAAGGATGAGGCTGCTCGCCCTTGACGCGCCACCCCATTGTACAGTGGCGTCTCTCGAAGGTGTGACTCCGATCCTCCATCGAGATATACATGTCTACTTTTATTTTTTTATTATTACAGGAAATAATTACAGAGTATCTTTATCACTTTAATTTATTAATACGTCAAAAAAAATGCGAGAGTATTTATTTCTATCCATCCTTAACATTGTTGATTGAAATGAAACTAAATGAATTAATATTATAAAAGTTCAGTTCGCTAGTTTTCTAGGAAAAATTTTTAATTATTTATTTTTTTTTATATTTGATAATAAAATTGGAAAAAATTAAAAAAGAAATGAAACAATTGACATATTAGAATAGTAGATAATATTTTGTATAATTAATATAATATGTAAAACGAAAATAATTTTGATGAATTATTATGCTGCAATAAATGAAGCAATAAAGTTCAAATGTCAAATATCCCCTACTCCATTTTAATAAAGTCACTCAACCCTTCCATAAGGGGGGTTATTTTCCCGCGCTACTGAGACGCTCCTAATATATTACCCCTTATTCCCCGCCCGGAAAATCGCAGTGACGGAATTTTGCCGCAAGGTTCCGTGTCACTCAGAATATTTTCGCAGTAATCTTTACGTGTTTCACGAAACATAACAAGTTTATTACGAAACTCGCAAGCCGTTCACTTTTGATGAACTTATAGTACATTGTATGAAGAAGTTACACGTTACAATTCCTTGAAGTTTTACTCAGTGCACGTTTCTCAGTATTATAGCGCGATACCCTTGTTGCATGCGACGCCCTTGAAATTATGACAACCCACCTCTACGGGGTAAAAGACAGTAACGTAGCCTATGTATCGTTTTACAGGGAATTATAATTAAATTAATTATATCTACGTTCCCGTGAAATCGTAGCGACATAGAAATAATTTAAAAGATCGCCCAATTTATTGTTCGCAATTGGATAAATGTAACTTAAAGTTTCATGACATCTGATATAACAGAATATAACAAACTGATGCGTACAATATTTGCAACACCACGGCTCCGACAGTTACTTCTACATATCATACATGTAAGGAGTGCTATTTCGCTTCAGTCCCCACGGACATGAGTGAGCCGTCAAAATTACGACAGCCCTTATTAGCGCGAGGGCTTGTAGAAATTTGTTCCTGTGTTTCATGCGGCAGTTTTTGCGGCCGTTACCACACGGTCACGCTGCGTTTCCCCATCACCATCCCCTCCCTTTTCGGTCGATCGACGATAACGCCGACATTGTTGTTGTACGTCACTGATCGTCGCCACCCCTGCGAGAATCCCTTCTCCCTCCCGCTGTCTTCCCTACCTTCTATGCGACTCTCGCGTTTCTTCGGTCACCCCCTCTCCTCACCCCTCAAACGGGGCTCAATGGTAGCTAGCCGCAGACTACTTATGGTATCTAAACTGATGCCTAGAGCGACGTGTCTGACGGTCCAATAGGTGAATGGACAGGAATAGTCTCTATCCTGCGGCAAGCGCCACATTATTCATATCGAAACCGTCCGAGGAATAGTCGCGCGCGTCACGTGACTACTCCCCGGTGCAGTCACACAAAGTGCTGCAAAACTACAGAAATCTGCATCCTCGCGACGAGGACAATGGAAACGATAGATGCCAATCTGGCCGAGCTACCGATCTACCTGGATCCGCCCCATCACCGTTATCAAATGGCTCAAATTTTGAGAGGAATGATTTTAGAGCGGAGTGTTAACGACAAGAGGTGTTTTCCATGCACAACTAATTTTTCATTTATATAAGTATCAACTAACATTTAGCTCAGCCTTTTCCTTTTTCCCTCGGATGCGTTAGCTCTAACTGATATTTATAGCAACAATTTCAAGAGTGTTAACATACTAAAGGAAAGGCGAGTTACTTTCTTTGGAACTACATTAATGTAGTAAACGATTCTCCTGGTAATTCCGACAGATCGTTTAAACTGCGATCGCGGAAATTATATGTTATCGGAAGTTACATTTTAAAAGAGTAGAGCGAGCGAGAGAGAGAGAGAGAGAGAGAGAGAGAGAGAGAGAAGACGAAGGAGTAAAGAACATCGAGGCACGCTTACCCCATCTGCCGTCCTTTGGCCGAGTCTTTCACGAGCTATCCCCAGTCGGGGTTCGTTTCCCTACCCGGTGGCCAAAGGATTTCCTCCTACTTGACGTACCGCTCCCTCCGACCAACCCCGTGAACCCCTCGCCCACGTCTACCCCCACGCACTACCATCGCCATCCCTCTGGCGCTCTATAGCACGGTCTGACGTAACGTCGCGTTACGTCAGACCACCCTCGCAGACCGCTGCTGCAACGGGTGGTCTCCGGACACTCGCACCCTCACACGAACAGTCTCTTTCTCTCTCGCTCTCTCTCTCTCTTCTTCTGGCATTTCTTACCGCCGCAACGCGGTGCTTCTTTATAATCACAAACCCCGCCTTCGCGATGTCGCTTTTGCAAGTAGAATGCGATTTCGCGGAAACGCATGCAGATAAATGGTAAAGGAGCGAAAGATGTCTCCCTTGCCGTGGAAATTTTTAAAAAATTTTTTTATAAACCAACTTAAATTTTGTCTTGTGTTGTAATGTATTTCAATTTTGCTTTATTTTATTTAATAATAATTCTAGAAAATTTTGGAGAATGTAAACAGAATATTAAATAAGACAGAATATTAAACAGAACATTAAATTTCGGTATGTGTGTCCCAACTTATTATTCCGTACAATTTGATTCATGTTAGTCGAGATATTATCCTGTTTCGCTAAAGAACTCAATTACATCCCTTTATACCAATTTAGTAACTCTAGAAATCGGTAGCTCAGCTAGGAGGTTTGTTCACCAGCCTCTATACGATTAGTAGTGATAACGTCCTTGTAGTAGATTCAAAGAGAGAAAGAGAGAAAGAAGAAGAAAGAAGGGGAGAAAGAATTCTAAGAAACTATCTTATTCCACGTGGAACAGATATAGAAAAGTCGATTTTACATTAGTAAATTTCCTAGAACGATCTTATGGAAATACGTAATAAAAATCGAAGCTATAAAACTCGGCAGTATATTCTATGAATAAAGTACGTTTCTCGTAATACACTTCATTTTTCTGTTTGTAAATAAAATATATTTTTAAAATATTTACAAGATATATTTATACATCTTTTTTATGCACGATTATTAACTGTTTTGTAAATTTCAAATGCTCTGTAGAAAAAAATTAAATATTACGCAAAAGATTCAAATCTTTAATGTTCACGATTTATATAAACTCGGTTTTATATCGCTGCTTTACACATATTAAAATTTTTCTTTCCGCTTCCACCAAACTTTAAACATATATCTACTTCATTTTTAAATACAAGTATATAATATTCATTTTTAAATACAAGTATATTTAATTATGTCGAACAAATCTATTAAATTTATATTTAAATTTAATATTTTAGTGCTACGATAAGAATCGAAAAAATAAATATTAATTCTTTATTTTTACATACTAGATTCTAATTCTTTTATAAATCAAGGATCGTCGTAAAAGTTCCGCATATTTATATATACGCATATTTGAAATATATGTTATATTATCCTTTATAAAAAAGGAGGTGTTAAGTCGATTACTCGCATTTCTCGAAGTGTTGCCGCTTTTCCGCGATGCTGATTGGTTCTTTTGCTGCGCTAATTTCGTGAGTTACTGTCAATTTGCAAATAACAATTTGTAAAAGGCGGCGAAGTTAGCGAATAAAACTTTGAATCGGTTTTGAACAAGGACAAAGATAAGATGAACAAGGATGAATGAGTTTCTATTTTTCATCGTAATGGTCGTCGCTACCATCAACGAATAATATAAAAATATATAATATGAAAATATGATAATATATATATTCATTATATATATTATATATATATATTCATTATATATAATGAAATATATAATATGAAAGTGGCGCTTAGTGGCGCGTTATGTCCTGTTATGTTCTAGTATATAAAAATTGCACTGAAAATAGTATGTTCAAATTTTTTATCTAAAGACTATAACTACATTCAGTACATTTATACTTATATAATTAAAGATAAATATAGATCTAAATATAGAGTCGGCCACATAAAGTTACTTCCACAAGCTATTTTTGTAGAATCTGATGAGAGTTAGCCATAAAATTCTATCTGGGTCTCTAAGATTCATTGGACCTTTTATGTGATATATGGAGTACCACTGCTGGATTTGCAAATAGGCGGAAGGAGGTCCCTTATTTTTTAATTAAATCCTCATGTTTTTGAATATATAATCAAATTAAACGATGTAATTTTTAATTTATTAAAATTAATTTTTCTCTACAAAAAACAATCATAAAATCATACACTTAGAAACTGTTAATTTAGAAAGTATTTATTTTAGTATATTTTGATATTTTAAAATACTAATTTTTTAACTGATATTAATATTTTAAAATACTAATTTTTTACCTGATATTAATATCTTTGTAATCAAAATAATGAAGTAAATCCATTGTAAAGAAAACATGTACTTGCTTTTAAAAATATGCGTTTTGGAATTTACAATCACATATTTTTATAAAAAAAAATGTTTTGTTTGTTTGTCTAATCAAGAACAGACTCATAGTTCAATTTTAGATATATGATTCTAATATAACATGTATCTCATTCGGATAGTTTGATTATTTTAATCCCATTCTAATTCAAGAGTAATATTATTTGTAATTACCTCAAGACATTTGGTAATATATATGAAGGTAATATATATGAAGGCGCGCGCGCGCGCGTGTGTGTGTGTGTGTGTGTGTGTGTGTAGATTATTTTACTGCAAGAAAAATTTTAATTACTATTAATAAACTGTATTTTTTCAGCGTATACACAGGGTATCATATTTTATTTTAAACTGTCAATTATCTGGAAATCACAGAATTATAGAAAAAAATTGTTCAGACTTAGAATTAGTAGTAAGTATAGTTAGTAATGTAAATTATTAGAAATTATAGACTCTCGAGGGACCTCATAATTATAATATTGATTCATTTGCAAATGAAGCCATTGTTGATATTTTTTACAATCATTACTTTTTTAAATGAAAACATATATTTTTTGTTACGTAATATGATTCCTCTATTTATTCTGGATATAAAAGTATCAAGATAAAATTGTTAAAAAGATTAAAAAATACAAGTTTAGAAAATACTTTTCAAACCCTCCAAACCCTACAATTTTTGCTTAAATTTTTTTCTGCAATCCCGTGATTGCCAGATATTTAACTGTTTAAAATAAAATCATCCTATGTATAATACATATACAAACACAAAATATAATATGGACATACTTAAATTACATTTTTTTAAATTAACGATAAATTCATTATTGGCTGTATGCATTTTTCACACACTATTATGACTTAACTGTTAAATTTTCTTTTTTATAAATATACATAGCTATATAAAATTTAGAATTGTTGAAATACGATAGAATTTTTTATAAGTAATTCCATTTTGATGAAAATATAGAATATAATAAATAGCGATAGCTTTTGCATTATTAGATAGCAATAATTTGCATTTAAAAAACAACTAATTATAAATTGAGTATAACACTATTATTTTATTGTTTTTAGTATAGCTGAATATAAATATATTTTAATTAAATGCTTATAGGAAATATTTATTAATAACATTCGATG